CCCTTCAGACTAACCTATCTTTCTTATATGCCTGTTATCACTGTAAATTTAGCCGCTTATTTTCACTTAATCGGTCAAAAAACACCTCATTTTAAACCAAAGAAGTACGTGTTCCTAGGTATGTCACACGGCATTCGTGACTCTAAATTTATATTAATCGTCTACAGTGATAAACCTGTGATAAGGGTTGTTTTCGGGTTGTAAAGATATTGTTATTGTAAAAGGTCAAGTCAAGTGGAATTGACATTTCTGAGTTTTTATTGGGTTTTCATTGTCTCTGAGTAGTCATAACTTTTTAAATTCTTCTTTGTATTTTGCAATGATTTTGATAAGAAACAGGAAATATTTTTAAATTGAAGGGTTCAAGCTGTTTCCAAGTATTGAAGTTCATTAACTGAACCTATTTCTAGCCAAATAAAATACAATTATTTAAGCCAATAACCTTTAGAGTAAAAAATTAACTCACTTTTAATTTTCGTTGATCAAATCTACCACAACTTCAAAAAACACTCCACTAACCAGAAGACACAAACTCAGTAACTCAATGCTCAATACCTCACAAATAAGCTGTAAATATATAACGAAGTAGCGGCCAATCCCTAGTAAAGCAGTAGCCAATACCTCACAATGTAGCGGTCAATATCTCACAGAGTAGTGGCCAAGAACAGGCAACATATAGAGTAACCAATAATTGAAAAAGAATCCGCCAATACCTCAGAAAGTAAAAACTAATACCTCAGCAGTACAGCGCAAAACTTCGCAAAGCAAAGGCCGAACCCAAAAATAGTAAGCAACTTCCTCAAGAAGAATCGCCAATACTAGATGAACTAGAAAACGACACCTCACAGAGTAGCAATCAATGACAAAACTAATATTTTCCAAGTTTAAGGGTTATACTTTCTTTAAACTCTTTGGTGTGTCCCGTTTGTAAATAACAAGATGCAGATCAGAACCACTGATTAGCCCCACCAAAAAGCGTTGTTCGCGTAACTCGACTTGTATGTTCGTTACGTCAACAAAAACATATCATGTTTGGTCTTTTTTCTTGAAGTTCAAGCCCGCGTGAAGTCACAAGTGAGACAATCTTCACTGCAGCCACGGCTTCAAACTTTGACGTATGAGGTTTGAAAAAATAAAATTTTAAAAATTATTTTTAAAAAAATTCACAAAAAATATCGTATTGAGCACAAAAAATTACACCAAATTCTTTACAAGACTAAAAATGGAAACAAGAACCTTTCACCGTATAAATTGTCTCTCGCAGCCTGCACAATGCAAAATTTCTGTTATTCTCATTGAAAATCGTAAATAAGTGTTTTACAAAACACAAAATAGCTAGAACTTTCTTTACAAATCAAAAAATGGCAAGAACTTTCTTTAGAAAGTAAAACAGACCAAATTACGCCAAAAGTGCCAACAAAAAAGACAACAGTGTGTTCCGGCTCTCAAAAACCAAGCGATCAATATCAACAATTCGTATTTTACCCAAAAAATCAGTAAAATCAATTATATTTGATTATAATGTAGATATTAGTCAAGAGTTTCATTTCTTTTATGTATCGCACTCACGTTTTTATGACTAATACCATGGAAATCGTTTTTTGGAACATTCAAACATCTCTTTTTATAAACAAAAACGTTTCGGATTTTGTTAGCTATAGGCTTTACTTTAAGAGTTACATTAACATGTTAAACATTAGGTATTGTATATTATAAACCCTCAAAATTAGGCCATTATGAATCAAAACTAAACCTATTACAGCCTTCCTTGGCTTCAAAAAACATCATACTATATACGAAAGGCTATGACAACATTTTTAAAAGCCAAAATAAACAAATTTCCAAAAAAAATAAAAACTACCTCATGACCAGCTCCTTGTCCAGTGTTACCCATGGCACTAATTCATCGTCCATAATCCCATCGGGACTCCTGAAAAAAAAATGAAATTAATTTAATCTGCATAAAAATGCCCGTATTTTACAAATTTTAAAAATCTTAAGCATTTTTTCCGTACGATATAAAAGAAGAATGACAATTTTACATTGGAGATTTACCACAATATAATAAAAAGTCAAAATTGTAAATATAAAACAACCTATGAAAGCTAAAATTCAACGTACATTCAGAAACAAACAAAATATCAACCAGTTATAAACAAACAAAACAAGATAAAGTGATATGCCTAAACAAAGTTGTTCTGTTAGTTGCGGCCCCTATACGTATAATATAGTACGCGCACAAAACTACAGTAATATACGATTAAAAGCTCGCAATGACATATTATGCAACAAAAGATTTTTTATAGACAATTTTACTTATCCTACCCTACTGTACTCTATCCTACACTCTATCTGACCTTACCCTGCCATACTCATTTATATCCTACCCTACTTCACACTGCTTTATCATACCATAGCCAATCTTATCCTATCTCAACCCAAATTACTCCATCCTTATCTTACCCTTCATTATCTTTCTCTATCGTACGTTTCTTTACGTTTCGTACCGTTCACTACCTTAACATCTTATCCTATCCTCTTTCGTCCTATCTTAACTATACTAGCCTACGCTAACATATCCTACCTTCTCCTATACTACTCTGTCTTACCCTTTTCAACACAACCTTATGATACACCGCACTAAAACATCCTTATCAAACCTATTCAATCCTACACACTTAATAAACATCTTATAAACTTCAAAAAATTAAAGGAAAACCTCATTTTCAAATTAGCGAGATGACCAAAGCCGCGAAACAATGTCTAAACTAGAGTATTTGCCCTTTTAAAAGTTTCCGTATTCTCTGGAAATGGCTTTACAAACCACAAAAATCCCCCATTTCTTCCTGAACTCCAAGGGAAAAACAAAAAAAACGGCGTTTTAAACAGTAAACACGTGTGAAATCGACCGTTCAATTTAGAACTAATTACAGTTTAGTAAACAATCAACGTGAAGGTGTTTATATTGTTTGTGGTTGAAGGGTTTAATCGGCAAGAATGATCGGTATTTGGTATGGGAGATAGTAAAAAGTAAACTATTACAAGTAGCAGTCAGCCTAAGGATGGGAGTAGGAGTAAGAGGTAAAAGCAGGGGTAGGGGTAAATGTAGGGGTAAGAGTAGGGGTAGGGGTAAGTAAAATAAAACCAAGCATGTACCGTGCAAGAGGAAAAACCAAATATTTCAGCTTACCATGACAATAAATAGTAGTTTTTTTGAAAATTCCACAAATAATCAAAAACTTTCTTTACAAACCCCATCTACAGCACTAATCCCTCACAACATAACAAAAAAACAAAACGAGTATAAACTGTATAAAAAGTAGGTCAAAAGAGCTTATTTTAATGCAACTTTAATTAAGAATATTATACTTTGCTCGAGATTTACATAAATAATCGTTTCCCTCACCTGCGAGGTGAAAACTTCGTATTTTGCAAAGAGAGAGAGGTTAGGGAGGACGATTCATCCGCCAAACCGGTAAGCAACTTTTTTCAAAATTTTTTTTTGAGATCATCCCTACCCTTCCCATCTCTCAAAATTGAATTAATCAACCAATCTTTTATTTTTTTTACAACCAGCCCATCATACCATCAAAAAATGACTTTTTAACTTCATAAAACTCCCAAAAATCCCCCAAACAACACCCCTCTGACCTCGACTTTCCACCAGATTCCCTCCCATAGCAACACGCACCTCAAACCTCATGCCCTGAACAGATCCAGAATTAAGATTCCGAAAAAAAGAGACATTCGCAACCAAAAAAAAGCAATCGAACACTTTTTTAATCCTAATAACAGGCCCTTTTTTAAATCAACCACTATCACGAGCAGACCAACTGGCCAATAAGCTCGGACGACAGAGATCACATAGGCTTACAACTACAATTTTTGGCTTTTTAGAAGCGGGAAATTCTGATTTAGCAGCCTAGGCTCTGCTTTTCTAGAAACTTCAAACCAAATTGGCCTAAAATATTTAAAAAAGTTTGTTACCTAAAATATCAAGATCTTTAAAATTAGAAGTATAAGTCTAAAAACTAAAGCCAAATTGAACTTAAAATTAAAAACCTTTCCAATATTTTACACTCTGCCAAACAAAACCCTCAACCTTTTAAATTTACAGCCAAAAATTTAAAAATTTCCCCCAAATTTCAGCTATTTTCAATAAAAACTAAACTTTTAAACTCATTTAAAAAGCCAGTTAAATAATGATAGCTTCCAAGACAATTTATAAACCTATGGAATAAATAGGACAGCGGTTATTCACATGTTTCACAACAAAAACATCATTATGAATGTGTTCATGGCCATTAAACATTCAAAAACCGGATTGAAACTTAAACAAACCTTTAAAATTCAAAGATTAACACCTTAAAATAACATAATCAATCCCGTTATTATAGTAAAATTAACGTATAACAATATACTTATTCATTAGTCATATAAAAAACAGTTAAACGCCCTAAAAATTATGTTACATTGGCCTAAATGGCCTAAAAACCCAAGAAACCCATAAATTTAAACAAAATAAACCAAATAAAGTAAAATCCCTCGATGCCAGCACTAAAACGTACTCAAAAACGAAAGTTTTCCCTTTTTGAAACGTAAATTTCAAAAAGTTCGAAAAAATAAAAAATAATAATTATTCAAAAAGCCCGCAAAAACAGCAACGGATAAAACGCTTTTGGCATTCTGTTTTATTCGACAAATTATGGGAAAAAGTCACGGAAAAAGTATAAAATAACTTACTTCAGGATGTTTCAGACGTTTTAACGTTGAAATTTGGGTCGTCTGTTATATTATGTTATACAGCGGAGTTTTCAAAACTTATTTTGTTTTGGTTTGTACTGGTTGTTACGTTTTAAAAGCGTTTAATGTGCTGTAGAAGCCTGTGAGATCAAGTATATCTTTGCGGAGCGTGCTTTATCTTTATTTTACCAGTTTATATTAACGAAATTGAATTTTTACAGGAAAGTTCATGCTGTTAAGCATTTCCTGAAAGCTTGATGTTCTTCTCACTTGCAAAATTAGCCAAACCACGACCAGATCGCCGCCCCTTGTATCGTCGTATCTTCACAAATCGACGGTTGGATCGTCTTCATCGATGTAAGTTTTTGTTTGGTTTTTAACATTTAGGAAGAAAGATTATTTTGTTCTTTGTCAATCATGGATGGTTTTTTGGTGTAAATTCAAAATTTAAAAAGATTTCTTTATCGATATATGTTCACTTTCATGGTTAATATATTTTTTACTGAATTTTACGTCTGATATCATTAAAAAATGGCAGAATTCTAAAAATAAAGTTATTTCAGATACCGTTAGGACGATTATCGGTTTTATCTTGTTCAGTACATCGTTTTGTATAGTGAACGGCGCTCTATACTACGTGTACGTGAGGCCGGTGAAACAAGAAGAACAACAGTTGTTGGAGCGTGAACTCATTGAAGCTGATTTGGCCGGATTTGACGTGCGGTCGAAGCATTAAAGTAATTTTATTATTGATTGTTTTTGTAGTTTTAGGGATTTTACATTGGTTTACCTCCTTCTGTATGTTTCTTTATGAATCTTTTTAGGTAGTTCATACTTACAACATAATTTTAAACATCTCTACAAACTTCTTCTTGGTTATACGTGTTTTTTCATCGGTCATCTCTTCATTCCCGTTCATCTTAACACCAGTAACGTCCACTTCCACCGCTTTATTAACATAATACCAGATTTTGTTGATATTCTACTAGAATTGCAACTACAATCCCTGGTACTATTTTCATCCATAGATTCGTCGATTTTACTTCTAATTACCATTCAACTGCAATAACTATGGACAAGCTACTATATGTGCTGTCAAGTGTCGGTCAAAGTTATCCTCGTATCTTCTTTACCGGTATCTTAGGCGGAATGGGATTGGAGTTGTTCAAAATACACTTCCAAGCAGGTGGTATCAACTATTACAAGGTGTTCAGACGCAACAATCTTCAACGTGAGCTCGAAGGCTACGAAGAGGACTTGATAGAGACTGAGAAGACGTTGATTAAATTTGCTAAATCCAAGGGGATAGACGTGCCGGATGATGAATAGCTCCAAATATTTGTTAGGTTTTTTACATTTTTTCGTTTCGTTGTTGTGTTTGCAACTGAATAAATATTCTTAGAAAGGGATAGTGAATATAATTTTCTTTTCGGTAGAAAATTTTGTTTTTGCCATTTTTATGTTCAGCAAGCAAAATTCTTGCTATTTCTTGTCATGAGAAGAAATTTCTTACCATTTAATGTTGTGTAAAGAAAGTTCTTGCGATTTTTTTGTTTGCAGTGGAATTTCTTGCACTTTTTCTACATTTGCACCATGCAACTTTTAAAATCATCATTATACCTTACAAAGAAGTCACAAAATTACCTTTACAATATCACTTTATTTTACACGTTAAAATTGAATGGTTGGTTAATAAAAAAATAAAAATCAAACAAAACTACAATTTAAAATAACATACAACTAATAAAAGATAAATACAATTACATAACTCTTAACGTGAACCCGGGAATAATTAGTGATTAACAATAAAATTAGGTAGAAAAAGTGAGATCCAGATCGGAAATTGGTTTTTGACATTATTCTTTTTGTTGTTCTTCCTTCTCTCGCCATGTATCCGTTGCACGAACAATGTCCGATGGAGTGTCAAAAGAGCCATGTTCTTGGTTCAGTTCTTCATCCAAACGTTTCGTTATTGGTCGATATGGGCGTTGGCTGGCTTCGGCTAAAATTTTGAAGTTTTTTTTAAAGTTTCCTTTTAATTTAAAAAAACCAACTATTATAGTTGATTCGACTAAATCAAAGTACAGAAGATTTTAAAAAATTGTAGCTCCGAAAAACGTATTTTACCTTCCAACTCCACAGGAGTTCCATCTTCGTTAGCATTGACTCCAGGTACCAGAGCTCCACGAGCTGCTAAACATGATCGAAGATACTTGTTCTCGGCACAAATGTTGGCCATGCGCTATAAAGACTAACTTTAGTTTGTGTAATAAAGAACAGTTTCTCCATCACCTAAAGTTAAAGCGAAAATTAATGAATACTATACCTCGACATCCTTGTTGTGTTGTAATTCACATTTCTCCAGCATTGTGCTACTCAAATCTGCAAGTTCATAAAATCTTTGTTCAAATGTTTTCTCATTGTTGTTCTGAAAGGTAAACATTGAGCCATAAACACTTGTAATTGACCTATCACGACATTATTAATGTTTCTGCTATTCATAATTAATACAACATAGAAAAATTAACAGTAAACAATAAGAAAATGTCTAAACCATCTTTAAGGATTCAAAAAATTAAACAAAAGATTATAACTTAAATGATATTAACAAAAAACTCTCACCTTGTTGTAGTGTTGACGAATAACATTGATAAGATCGTCTGAACGACTCATGTCTTTAACCACATTTCTATGCTTTTCCATCAAAAGTGTCATTCCATGTTGAACTTCTTCTAAAGCTTGTTTCAATTGCCTATTCTCTTCTTGTAGATTTAGAATCTCACGATTCTCATGTTGTAGAGATCTAACCAAATCGCTTCGATCTTTATTTCGGAAACATGAATTAAACGCAATTGCTTCGTCTTTGTACTAAAATTTATTATTATTATAGTAAGGAGTGTTTAGTATCTTCTTTGAAAGATTTCCTTTAGATTAGTGCCTAAACTTCGGAAAAACCAACAAAAATATGAAACTTACAATTTTCATAACCTCAATCTTCTCGTTTACTCCATGAGACTTTGTTAGGAGCTCGTCCGCTTCTCCTAAACGTTCATGAAGGTGGCTGACATGTTTCCTCAGGTCTCCCAACAATTCATCAGCTACTTCTGGGAAATTAACGTCGTTTGCGTAAACACTCATCTAAAACAACATAATTAGTCGGTTATTCTTCACTAAAAAATAAGAAAACACTAAACTCGATAAAATTAATATTCTTAAACATTAAAACAATACAATTCCATATTATAGACATTAAAGTACGACACATTGATCATTTATTTTATTGAAAACCAGCTCAAACTCAATACCATTAAAAAATAAAAAACGCCAGTCGCGCCCGGACTTTCGCGACCCGCACGTTTTCCTTATACATTGAAATTCGAAAAACGATTCGAAATGGCGCGAAATCGTTCCTTTGAAGCCCTTTTTAACTTACTTTTTGATCATTTTTCACAAAAAATATTTTTGATAAGTTTTACTTTGTCATCTTACTTACTTGTTAGTTTTGCGACAACTCTTGAGTTTTATTTGATGGCAACAAATGTCATTATTGTTCTGAATAGGATTTACGATCAGTCGCGGTGTGATACTGAGGTAGAAATTTCGAGAACAATAGATTGGCTTCTGGGATCCGTTCTGCGCGGTTATTTCATTGGTTTTATTTAGAATTTGGCTGCGTTTTGCTAATTTCCGTGAGTCTGTTACCTAAAATTTGATGAGATTGTGATATTACGATGTTTTCAGGCATGGAGGTGGATTCGATAACTCAGCCAACTGATACGAATGCTCAAACTGTCTCCGAAACCATGGAGGAGGTGGACAGTGTGGATGCGTTCGTGGCCACACCTTCACCGTCTAAAAATGCAGCTATACCTCCAAATAACGATGCTTTACCTAATCAAAACGACAGTGGAGTCTTGCGAACGATGGATAACATTCAGAAGCCTCCGCTGATGAAAAGCCCTAATGTATCCTTAATGTCGGCTAAGAGCGTGGATGTAAGTATGGAGTCAAATTCGTTGTCGAGGATGGCGGAGATGGAGCTGATCGTGAATAAATCACCGATGAGTGAGAGAATTCGTCCTGGAGCACCAGTAGAACTCGTCAAAAATGCGAAGAGGAGAAAGCTTTCTGAGCCGAGGCACAAGAATTCAATACCTAAATTTCAACGATGCCCGGTGAGTTTTTAATTTTATTTTATTCTGATTTTAGGTATAAAAACATCAGAAAAGCCTGAAAATTGGTGTTCCTTGATGTTTTGTAAAATGAAAGTTTCTTTTTGCTTTTTTATCAAACTGTGACGTTAGAGAGCTTAAAAAACGATTTTTTTAAATTTATTTTTTAAAATTTTTAAAATAGCTTTTAAATTCTGTGAATTTCAATTTCATGTTAGTTCTAAACAAAAGTGATTATTTATATTGTTTTAGCAAGACTCATCAATTCACAGTTGGCTCAGAGGTGTCAAAGAAGCTTCAGAATCTAATCAAAGTGCGAGTAATGTAGGTTATTTAAAGCTTTATTATTTTTTGGCAATTTATATAACTTTAGACAGAATACTGAGCAGTTGAGCTACTTCATAAAAAGAATATTGTTCTTAATTTATGCAAAAGGTAATATTATCTTTAAAAAAGTTTACAAAGGTGTTTTCAGCTTGATTTAGCAGTTCCACAACAACATCCTTCAGATTCTGATCCGTCTAACGGATCTAATAATGATGTTCAAAGTGTGGCTTGTTCGAGTAATGCCGCTAATACCTCGACTTCGACTCTGAAACCTTCAACAACTCCAAGAGCCGAACAGAATAACGGGACGAAGGGTAAGTTATTTATATTTTTTGTTGTTCTTTTAGGAAGATTTGGTTATCTTTGGCTTTTGTACGGGACAAACTATTGCTTTTTGTGGCATAGTGCCATTTATGAATTGAGCTTTAACCTTAAAGAAAACTCTTGTCATTTCATGCTTTTTCAGAAAACATAAGAGCAAGAGAAAACTCAAACCCCTTACATCTTAATCCACCCTTTGCCGACAAGCACTACAAAGACCTACTGGCCGAAAACCAGACGCTACGACAAGAAAACTTGTTGTTATTGGATAAAATACAAGCAGACGAACAAAATAAAGCAAAGTACAAAGAAATGATCAGGCATCTGTTGATAGAGAAAGGAATCAGAGACAGAAATCAGGCTAGATTAGATGTTCAAGCCAATATTAATCGATTGGGGTCATTCCAGCTGACTCGAGTTAATGATAAGTTTGAGGAACGGTGGAAGAACGGTACGGCGACTGATGAGAATAGGGCAAAGTTCTCTACGAACGCTGAGCAGAGGGAAAGGTTGAATTCGCTTTTGGAGCAGTTGAAGAAGAAGAAAAGGGTTAAAAAGTAAGATTTTGCGGATTTTTTAAAATTTTTTGTGGGCTTTAATGGTTGATATAAGGTTTTTTGATACTTAGATTAATATTTTTATATTTTGATATCTAAAGTACTATTTTAATACTTAAATTACTATTTTTTTAGAGCAAACGACTCAGACTCTCGAAACTCAAGCTCAAATCAGATGGACGACGGTTTCCTAAGGCCAGAAGAGCCAAACACACCACAAGATATATACGAAAGAGAAGAGATAATCAAGCTACAACGAGACCAACTCAAAAAAGAAGAGCTAGAACTAATGGCGGAGAGGGAGAAGATCGAAAGAGACAAGAATTTGCACGTTAAAGAACACAAACGAATCCAGTACGAAGATGTCAGTTTATACCGGAACTTTGTCGTTTTCTCACAACGATACCTACTCTTAACGTTACTGGGCAAAGGCGGATTCAGCGAAGTCTGGCAAGCGTACGATATGAACACGAATCAGTACGTAGCGTGCAAGATTCATCATGTTAACAAAGACTGGAAGGAAGAAAAGAAGGCCAATTATGTTAAGCATGCGATGAGGGAAAAGGACATTCATATGACATTGGATCATCCAAGGATTGTTAAACTGTATAATGTATTCCACATTGATGATCACTCGTTCTGCACGGTACTGGAATACTGTGGAGGCAATGACTTGGATATCTATTTGAAACAGAACAAAATGATCCCGGAAAAGGAGGCTAGATGCATTATTATGCAGGTAAGGAGTGGGGAAGAGAGGGTTAGTTAGAATTAATAAAAAAATTTTTGAAATTTAATTTTTTTTCTACGATGCAGTACTGAAAAAAGTTTTTTTAATTTTATGTTGTTTTCAGCTTTGTAAAGAAAGTTCTTTTTATTTTATTATCTAAAATTACATTTTCTAGGTAGTAAGTGCCCTGAAATACCTGTCCGAACACGATCCTCAAGTAATTCACTACGATCTCAAACCAGCCAATATTCTTCTTCAAAACGGGAACGGCTCAGGCACAGTCAAAATCACGGACTTTGGCCTCTCGAAGACGTTGGAAGATTCGGAAGACGGCCACAGTATCGAGCTGACTTCACAAGGAGCCGGAACATATTGGTACCTCCCACCAGAAACCTTTCAACACTTTTCTCACGGTGCAGCCCCCCGAATCAGCAACAAGGTGGACGTGTGGTCGGTCGGCGTCATCTTTTTCCAATGTCTATATGCCCGACGACCGTTTGGCCACGAGCACAGTCAACAACAAATCCTACAGGAACGTATCATCTTGAACGCCAGGAATGTCGAGTTCCCAGCGTACCCAAAAGTCAGTCAAGGAGCTCAAGACTTCATCAGAGCCTGTCTCGAATACAACAAGGATCAGCGCGTGGACGTGACCGGACTAGCCAATCATCCCTATCTGAAACCTCGGTCCTATACTCCAAGGAATAGTAATGTATAAAGTTGTTGTGATCTGTTTTTCAATCTTTGAATTGTTTTTCTGTTTGGTGGTAAATTCGATGTGATTTTGGTTTATAATGGTAAATTTTGATATGATGACTGGTGTTTGAAGGAAGTTTTTATATGATGGTGGTCGCGACCTTCTTATTGATTTATCTACGCTTTTAATGATTTTATGCTCATTTTTATGAATAACAGTTTATTAACACAAGTATTATATTATACACAACAATGGAGTGAGGGCTTTGGGTGGGGGATTGAAATCAATGAAAATGGAATGTTTTTTAGACATTTTTATCAATTATTATGGACATTATTAGCTATATAATTGTGGTTATATAGTTTTTAGTCACTATTTTTATTAAATCAGATCAAAAGATTTGGGGAAAAAGTGTTGCACGGTGCAAACATTATTATTTGGACTGCACAGTGCATAACTTATTAATTAGACTGCACAGTGCAGTCAATAATAACCTTTGCACTGTGCAGATCCCAAAACATTTTGACTTGACTTTTTGAATTTAAAAATGAGTTATTAAAGATAAACATTAGTTGTTAATAGTTACTATGTTCTTATTTACCAGCTCCCGAGAAGGTGGGTGTGTATTGGCACTGGCTGTAGTCGACTGGGGAGATCATGTTGAACGCCTTGGTGGCTACGTTAATATAATCTAAAAGTAGGTGGAGATTAAAGTTTTCAAGCTAAAGGATCACGTGTTTTAAATTTGTTGAATTAGGAAAATGTTTTCGATTCTATTTATGTTGTTTTAGGTATTAATTTGGTCTTTTTTAAGGTATTTTTAAAAGAAAAAAATTTTAAATTCAAAAATCAAATTTAAGCTTAAAAATGAAATTTAAGGCCATGTAAACTAAAAATAATTTAGGCCAGACTTTGCACTGTTAACTTACTGTTATCTTCCAGGAACTGAAGTACGCCCTTCATGTGTTCACGTTGGAAACGTTCTGGGTCACGGGCAATCACGAACACTGGGAATCGTACCCAATTGGACACGACAGCATAATCATATTGTTTGTATTCATTCAATGGACCTAGCTTGATCACCCAGACTGAAATTTATTGGAATTAGGATTTTAAGGTGAGTCGTCGTATAACATGTCACCCGCAGGCTGCGGAATCAAATTTTGTTGTTTTTGGCTATTTTTTTAAAAATTTTTTATATAATAGCATAGGAAAAGAGATCAATCCCGTATTTTACCTTTTTAAACTAATTTCAATTACCTTTTTTCTATTTTAAACTAAAAAAATTGAAATTTTAAAATAACTTACAAGGCTCAGCATCTGGAGAGTTGCTGCTGTGCAACAAGAACTGGCCAGTGTCTCCGGCCTTGAATCCATAGCCAAGTGAGAAGCGTGGCGGTCCGTTGGGATTGCCTTCGCGGTAAAACTTGAGGATGGTGAAGGTGGCGCTGTAGGTGTTGTTGGTCAGGGCACCGACTGAAACGATGTTGATTTTAAATTTTTAAACATTTTAATAGCGGTTTTCACATTACTTATTTTACAAATTTTTTAATTTGAAATTTTTTTTGTAAAGAAAGTTCCTGCCGGTTTTGGCCTTGTAAAAAACGTTCTTGCCATTTTATGTTTTGTAAAGAAAGTTCTTGCCATTTTTTGTATTTTTAATATATAAGAAAAGTCTTGTCGCATTTCAACGTGCAAATACGTAGTCAAAAGCGCCAAAACTTTTATAAAAAATGGCTATAACTTTCTTTACAAAACGAAAAAGGCAGGAACTTTCTTTACAGAATTCGAAAAATTGAAAATTATCTCTTGCCGTTGTCAAATATAACTTACAATGTGACACGGTGCAAGCCTCCCTGATAACATGTGGAGAAGTAATAACTTGAAACCATCGTCCCATCATCCTAGCCACATCAACGTTCTCAGCAGCTGGATGTACAGCTCTGAACACATTCTTGGCCAAGTTCTTGGTGGTATCTTTAGGTAACAATCGACTAATCGATGATCCCAACAGTGTGTTGGTAGGTGGGATCATTTGAGGAATCAGTTGTCCAACCAAATAATTAAAGTTTCTTAGTCCAGGAATAGTATTCACGCCAGGCACGGTTGGGTTGTCGCTTTCGCCTGGGAAGCCGGGGACTGGGATTGGGGCTAGGCCAGGGATTTGGCCAGAAGCCAGACCTTGAAGGTCGATTCTTTCTTGACCAGCGGACTCAACGATACTATTAAGGTCGTCAGATTGATACAATGAAGAAGGCAGTGGTGGTTCACGTCGACGAACCTCACGATCTTCTCCACCCCACGTGATGCCCATCTTCTCCATGACATTGTTGGCAAAGGTGGTCACTTTGTCTAGTGAATCTTTCGGTGCTAATGGATCATTGCCAAAGCTGTCGAACGATGGACCATTGAATTGAGATTTTGGCTGATCTGCTTGACGTTTGAATCGCTCTAGTCCACTGAGGGTGGCAGAAGCCAGCGTTAAGCTGGCTAGGAAGAGGGGCAGCCAAGTGTGGCTGGTCATACCTACAACAATTTAATTTTAAAATAAAAAGTATGAAAAGTTTTAAAACGGTTATAAAAATGTAAAATACGGTAACACAATCTACTATTTTTCAAAGAAAGGTTTTTCCATTTTGTTTTGTAAAAAAAGTCTTTGCCATTTTTTGTTTTGTAAAGAAAGTTCTTGCAATTTTTTAATTTTCTTTGACGTTTTTGGCCGTGCAATTGAACCTAAATTGACGACAAGACTTATTTTTTAAAAATTTTTGATGAATTGAAAAGACATACTAAAATATTATTTCTATAAAACTAGCAATTGTTACTTAAAATTTATTAATATATAGGCTGGCCAAAAACTCTTGTCGTATGTTTACGTTCAATTGCAAAGTCAAAAACGACAAAACTTTTTTATCATTTTCTAAAATGGTTAAAAACGGCATAACGTTTTTTCAAGTTAAAAAATGGTAAAAAATTTCTTTACAAGATTAAAAATGACAAAAACTTTCTTTACAAACATTAAAAAATGTAAAACCCATGCAATTCGTTATACAGGAGCTGCACCGTATATACTTTTTTATAATAAAGAAAATGATATTCTAGAGGCAAAAATTTTTTTATCAACCCGTAATAGACTAAACATGTAAAGAAACTAGCATCCAAGGATAATATCACCCATCCTTAACTTCATATCAACGCAAACTGATCGCCCCAAAAATACCTGACATTAAAATCCACCTGCCCAAGATAAAGGCTTTTGAAAGCCGGCGAAGAAGCACCCGCCCCCTCCAGATTTCCTATCAAAAAGTTGGGCGAAAGTTTGAACGGAGATTCAGGTCAGATGCGCGCAAAAAACAGTAAATGGATTTGGGTGAATCTTTCGAATCCATGACACACATATGGATGAGAGTATGAAAAGTAAAAGCAAAAGGTCTTCTTTATCAGCTTCAAAATGTGATAGCTTTTGGAATTTTTTGGAATCCAATGTTTTTAAATAAAAATTTAAAAATTGAAAAAGTCTTTTCAAAATTTGGAAGTTATGAACCCTAGGCATAGCGATAGCCAGGGCTGAGCGGGGACTTTTGGTGTGGGGGGAGGGGGAAATAAAATTTTTTTTTCTAAAAATCCTCAGGGGGGGGCACGTTCAACTTTTTTCAATTTTCTCAACTGGGGGGAGTATTAACTCCACCCCGTTCCCTCCCCCCCCCTTCCCTTGCGCCCGGAATTGGCCATATTCGTAGACATAGCCATAGCCTTACACATAGCCGTAGCCAGGGCCGGGCGCTGAGGGGGGGGGGCCCGCCCAGAAAAAAATTTTCGAAAAAAAATTTAGCGGTCTCGCTGTGGGTTTTTGGGAAAAAAAATTGCAAAAAATCGGCACAGGTAGCCCTGTCCCGATTTTTTCGGCCCCCGCCTTTAGACCAAAAGTCCCCACCCGGCACTGGCCGTAGCCATAGGAAATTGGGATTATAAGTTTTATCAATCTACCCTAGCTTTCTATTACCTCTATCATAACTCGAAAAACCCTTGCGTAGCTTTTGAATCCTAGGCATAACGGTATTCTTAGCATTAGCTCTGCTCTAGGTTTTGTCCTTGACTATATTTAGTTTAAAAAACTATAATAATATATTGAATTCAAAAAAATCGGCTTCTTTTTAAAAAAATATGATTACATTGACAACAAGGCTTTCATTAGAATCTTAGAGCTCTAAAAACGAAAAAATTATGATTTGGTGATTATGTAAAGTTATATAACATAATGATCTAAAAAGCTAATCTAAGAGAAATTACAAGAATCTGTGTTAGGTCACTTATCTTGATGTAATATGTTTTGATTATGATATTTTTGTCTCGAACGTTCCAACAAAATTACTCCGAGTAAAGCAAGTTTAGTCTTACAAAGACTTAGAGGTTAGGGTATGTTAAGGTCGCGTATTAAAGTACGGCAAGTACGTTAAAGATAGAATATTACAAGGTAAAACAGAGGAAAATATTGTAGGAACGAATAAGGTATAGTGGGATAGGGTAACACATTAGAAAAAAGTAGAGTAGAGTTAAATATAGTAGGGTAGGGTAAGGTGGAGTGAGGTAGGGTAAATTGAACTAAGGAAATATACGATAATAAGACAAGGTAAAGCGAAAACAAATTACCGTTTTATATTATTTCTTATGTCAAATGTGCGGCATCGTATTTTACAAATAAAAAATTACATAAAGCAAAGTAATAGAAGTATAATATAATGATATTATGCGAATATAATATCAACCATTTCCAATAAAAATAATACTGGTCACTCGCGAAATATTCGTCAAAACACTCAAAAAACCTGAGTAAAATAAATAAAAAAATTTGAACGAATGCCGTAAAAGAGCCGGAGGGCATTCGGATCCTCACCTGTCCGCACAATAGCAAAATCAGCGAACAATGAAAAATGGATTCCGATTTTGAAGTTTGCGCCGAGAATGAGTTCGAGTTGGATGTGACGGCTTACGCAGCTTTATTCTACCCGATTACCACCTATGTAAAGTGTTTGTTGTCGTCATATTGTCGTAAAATGATTGATTTACCGTGACAATTAAGGGGATATGTGAAAGAATAACATACAAATATGTAGATTATCGTAAAATAAGTAAAAGAAACTAAATGAAAACGATGAAAAAATGAGTTTTTTAGGTTTTGTAAAGAAAGTTCTTGCTATTTTTTGCCTTGTAAAGATAGTACTTTGCCATTTCTTGTTTTCTAAAGAAAGTTCTCGCCATTTTTTGTTTTGTAAAGAAAGTTTTTGCCATTTTTCGTTTTGTAAAGGAAGTTCTTTCTATTTTTATATAAATTCAAAAAGTCTTTAATTTTTTTGTCGTTCTGTTGTCTGAATATTCAAATCGTTTCAGCGTCCCATTAACCACCCAATTTTAGAAACGTGAGTTGGAACGATGTTTCAGATCACCCAACCCGTCTCTTCTCCTTTTAGGACCGAGTTACAAAAAAGCCGATCAGTAATGAAAAAACGTGAAATGAATGCGCGAACGACTAACAGCTGCCCATTTTGCCATCCTTTTTTGACTTTATTGTTTTTGGAACACATTTGAATATTTGGGTTCATGCTTTCTGGCTGTAATAAATTTTGGTGTTTTGTTGAGATTTAGTCAGAGGCTAGGTCTTCTAAAGGCTAGGCTAAAGAGAAATTGGTAAAGCTAGAGAGTACTAAAGTGAAATTACTGTTAACCTTAGGGCTAGGGCTCTAAGCTAAGGCTTTGCGCTAGGGCTCTAAGCTAAGGCTCTAGGCTAGGGCTCTAAGCTAGGGCTCTGGGCTAAAGCCCTGGGCTAGGGCTTTAGGCTAAGGCCCTGGGTTAGGGATCTGGGCTAGGGCTTTGTGTTAGGGTTGTGGTCTGGGCGACGGCTTAGGATTAGAGCTCTGTGTGAGGGCTAGGACCAGGAATAGAAACCAAAGTTTATGTACCGACTTTCACCTTCAATTACAGTATTCTGCAGTACATTCTCAAGCACTATCACTGTTTTTCCTTGAAAGTAATTAATCTTTGCCGAGGTTTGTTTTGTGATCATTTTGGGAAAAACAAATCTACGAAAACTTCAAAACGAGTCATTACTTATTTTTTACGCAGTTGAAACTCATAAAAAGTTCCCGCCAATTTTCCTTGTTAACTTTGTTTTTGGGCATGTAAAAAAAATCGGAGGCTGTTCTCACCTTTACAAAAAGTGCCAAATTAGATTTTTTTCAAAAAAAAAACGAATTTAACTATTAGGGAGGGTGTTGAAATAGACAAAAGCTAGTTATTTTTTGAAACAGACATGCTACTGAGATGGATTTGAGGGTGGTTGGGTGGGTTATATCTTTTCTAAACAATTTTACTTTTTCAAAAATATAGAGTTATTTATAATTATGTTGAACTATTTTTAATATTTTTAAGACAGTGGGACCATTCGTAAAAAGTTAAAACTTTTTAAGCCAATAATAAATTAATAAAAAAGACGGGACTATATCAAAGAAAATGGAGTTATTTATAAAAGGGTAAAGCCGTTCTAAAAAAGTAAGACCACTAGGACTACTTGTAAGAAAACGATGCAAGTCCTAAGAAGACGAACCATTTTTAAAAAGATTACACTATTTTTATAAAAGCGGGACAATTTTGAAGTTTTTAACACGATAAAACTATTTTTTAAGTCGGTAGTGCCAGGGCCGGGCGGGGACTTTTGGTCTGGGGGCGGGGGTCCATAAAATCGGCACAGGTAGAGGTACCTGTGCCGATTTTTTGCAACATTTTTTTTCCGAAAATCCACAGGGGGGGGGGACCACGTTCAACTTTTTTCAAAAAATTTTTTTTCTGGGGGGGGTGGGGGCCACCCCCCCGTCCCCCCCCTCGCGCCCGGCCCTGGGTAGTGCTATTTTTGGTCAACTGTGATTAATTTGAAGACCTAAGTCATTTTTAAAAACGGTTTTGCAGCAGTGTCAGTACTTAAAGCAGTGTCATTAAGCTCTAAACCTCAATCTTGAATCTCAAAACCTCAACCATCCTTCTTACACTTAACCTCACCACTTCACCTCACATGCCAATAACTCATTCCGGTTGCGTAATTCCGCTGCTGCAGCTCTAAAATTAGCATAAATCTGGCGACCGCCAACCGATGGCGCAACTCGCCGAAAGATGGGACGCCGATCAGGTATTCGATTACGAAATCACTTTAGATTCGAGGCCAAATCGCTGGTGCACCTGAGCTAGCTTTTTTTTCGACCGGTTTTGCAGTGTTTTTGATTTTTTTTTGAGTTTTAAGCGTGTTTTTGATATATTTGATATTATAGTTGAACATGGACAGGTTTGGGAAAGGGGGGGGGGAGAATGGAGAAGAAGAAGGTTTTTTTAATCAGTGAAGGTAGGGAATGACCAAACTTGGTACTAGAAGAGTCCGTACGGTAGAATAGATTATGGTAGAAAAAGTTACAGTAAGGTAGAATTGAACAATGCAGGGTAGAATAGGTAATGGTGGGGTAAGGTATATTATGGTATTGT